GGACTCAGAATGTGACAGCATTAATGTAGAACATGAGGCATTGTGGACCCCACCAAAGTGTATGCAGTGTAAAAGGCCCTAGGAAAAGAAAAATTAAGAAGCAAGCAAAATAAATAAAAAAAACCTCACATGAACAAACACAGCACTGCACCAGTTCAGTTTATTGCATAACGCACAAGCCTTTGCAGAATACACAATATAAAATCAAGCCAGTTCAGTTTATTGCATAACACACAAGTTTATTTGCAGTTTATTTGCAGAATACACAATATAAAATCAACACAATACAATACAATATAAAAGAAATTAAACCAAACTTCTAATCAAACTTATAAGTTCTAAAATTTCGGGGACGTCTACATTAAAAAAATTAAAAACCCAGATAAACAAACACAGCACTTAACAAAGTACTTGGGTATTTATTGATACAATGGCTCTTATCACAACGTTGATCGCTTTGTAAGGAAGAATTTTCATGTCCTACAATGGTTTCCTTTATCATGAAATAATTGGTAAACATCCTGTGTAGAGAGTAACAGTCAGGTCTGTATGGAGTACATGCGGAGCAAGGGAGATACACTTATTAATGATAGGTATTGGGCATTTTACAGAAGATAGCTGACCACTTCATTTTTCACATTGTGATCAGCCACTTTTTGACATCAGTTCATGTAAAATAATGCTTGCCTCTCTTGAATTCTGAACTGGACATACATTATTCTAAACGACATGTTTCATGTATGAAGAACCCCTGACACTGGTTGCCAAACAGACATGGTGTATGTGCTTCATGATGGGGGTATAGAAAATTCTATGTGGGTGCATGATTTCTTATTTCCATAATGAAAAAAATATTTTACCGGCCTAAACAAATTTCTTTGACTGATATGTTTATAGAATTTAGGATTTCTCAATAAAAATTACTTGTGCTGATTTTGAATTTTAAAATATTTTGTCTGTGTATTTGTAATATTCAGTTATGACTTGACTGTTTTGTTAAAAGGGATTAAATGAAAAAGGAGGCTTGATGCTGAGAATTTTGGAAATCACTGGTTTAAGTGGATGGGCCTAGGTAGATGTTTTTTCTTAAAACACATCGAGGAGTGGGGAGGTATTTATTTATTTGATTTATATATTGCCCATCTGGCAGCCAAGGCCACTCTGGGCGGTGCCCCCTCCAGGCCACAGATACCCACGGGAATTTTAGCACATATGGCTTGTGATGTCAGATCAAAACTGCTGCCTCTGTTAAAAGCCAAAGCCCAAACATGCCTCACGCACGTTTGAAAATTGACATCATTCTCACAGAGAAATTATTTATCTTTAAATTTCTGCTTATGGTACAAGCAGCCAGTGCACACCCACAGTGCCCCATCATTGGACCTTTTTACAGTATAACTAAGACAGAGAACAGGAAGGTGTTTAATAATAAACTGAAAGTGACACAAACACAGGGAAGCCAGCAGGAAATAAAACAGAAAGGAAAGGAAAGAATGAAGACACAAAGACAGCAAGAGAGATTAAGATGCTTTGGAAGGAATGAGGGATGGAGATCATGTTAGGTAAAAGTAAAGGTTCCCCTTGACATTTAGTCCAGTCGTGACCGACTCTAAGGCACAATGCTCATCCCTGTTTCCAAGCCGTAGAGCCAGCATTTGTCTGAAGACAGTTTCCGTGGTCACGTGGCCAGTGAGACTAGACATGGAACGCCGTTACCTTCCCACTGAGGTGGTACCTATTTATCTACTCGCATTTTTACATGCTTTCGAACTGCTAGGTTGTCAGGAGCTGGGACAAGCGACGGGAGATCATGTTACCTTCCCTCAAACTTTGGGAAATGAGATTATTTTCTTTCCTTAAATGATGTTGAGTACTGAGATATCTCTCCTTCCCATACACCCATAAACAAAGCATAATCTGAGTGGACTGACTCATCTCCATTGTAGCTGTGACCTTGGATAAGCTGCTGTGACAAAATCGTTATTATCCCAGCAAACTGGATTGACCTTTTTCAGGGTTTTCTAGGCATGAAGTATTCAAATATGGTTCACTCATTCCTTCTCTAGGACTGTGTAGCTTGCCCAAGGCCATTTGGGCTGGCTTTTCTCCCAGGAGAGGAGGGACTCAAGCTCCTTGGCTCCAAAAAGTGAGCTATCCAGCCAGCACCACACTGGTATACTGGGAGTTAAGAAAGGCTTTTCACAAAATGGCTGTTCAAATGCAGAGTGTACATTATGGGGGGAAAGCCCAGGGCACAAACACAATAAAATCAATAAATTTGATTGCCCTTGAGTTCATCTGAACGGCTTGTGACTAGTTCTGCCTGTAATGCCATGCCATCTCCAGGACTGAAGGTAAGACCTTGTTTCAGTCCGAGAGTCTTCTGTGAGATGCTTCTGCTTGTAGAGCCTGTGTTGAACTGAACTCTCTCTAAGTCTTGACAGGTAATAGAAGCATAAATTAAGGACCCACTGGTGCAGGCTGGTACCATCCAACAGTGCAGCAACAGCCACAATAGCTGAGCTCAACGTACTCCATGAATCATCTGATGACACAGCATTTGTAGCAAAGTAGCCCTACTGGAGGCAGATATTGCATTGGCAGATTCTTGATCTTGGCAGATTCTTGATCAGCAGGCATGTCCGCTGATCAAGAATCTGCCAAGATCAAGAATCTGCCAGTGCAATATCTGCCTCCAGTAGGGCTACTTTTGTGGTCTCGTATGGACCTGGCGCCATGTACTATCAGAAAGAAGCTCACGTTACCAGGGTCACAAAGTCAGCCACTGCTTATTGGTGCATCAGAACCAGTTTCCCAACTCATTAAGCATGATGTGAAAAAAGAAAGACAGCAAAATGGCTATGATCAGAAACAAACTGAGGCAGCTGAAAGCATATTAATATTGCACGATGGTTGAGCCAGGATGTCAGGCTTGTGAAATCTCACTCCAAAGGAATCCTGTGCTTAGATCCAGAAGACCAACTGCCAAACAAAGCAAGTTAATTTGAATGTCACTGTCTGGTACTGCAGAATAAATTACCAGAAATTTAATGAATCTTAGAACTGCAGAGCTGAAAGGGACCCTATGGATCATCCAGTCTAGCTCTTGTCTAGGAGGCGGAGTGGGGAATGGAACGCCCTTCCCCTGAATTTCTGGCTCCACAGCCGGATATTTAAACCAGCAAGCCATCCAGCAGTCCATAATAGAAAAGTCAAGTCATTGAAGAAACAGTACACTGAGGGTGGAAAAACTTCAGAAAACCATGCTACTGTGGATGAACCATGAGAAGACAAGGATCCCTGGGGGAAATGGAAGGCTGCAAATAAGATGGCACAGTATCGGAAGCTAGGGTGTTGAGTTCGCAAGATCTGGATGGGGCTCTTAATGACGACTTGTTGAAGGTTATTAATTCAGACTTGACATAAATCAGAAGCAACATGCTAACAACCTGAAGGGCAGACTAGAGACGTACTGCTATGACGCCCAGCACGAAAGAGAATAGATTCCGGTATCTTGAATAGCTGGACAGCCCGAGGTTTTTATTCAGCCTTTTACGATATATAATGCATTTGTAAAACAATACATATACTGTACAGAAGCAGCAGGCGATACTTTCATTGGACCACTCTTAAAAAAAGCTCTGTAAGTAGATTTGGAGCTTCTGAGGCTAACCCGTCTCCCTCAGGGCCTGTTCCAAAGTCAAACCGCCCTTTTCAGCACGTTTGTCAGAGACACTGTCTTCCTGTGTCTCTCCTCACCCTGCACTTTCCATCTTATCCCGTGAACAATTAACAGGGCTTTGCCTGCCCCCTGACTCTATTTTGTTGCCCTCGGTGCCACCGCCAACCCAACACGTCCGGTTCCTCCCTTGCCTGTAGAGAGCCTCCAATCTATTCAAATTAAGTGCCTGCCCCATCCAATCAGCTTCTCCCCCCGGTTTCTTCCCTACCTAGCCTTTGTTCCAGACTGTCCCCTTCCACAATTTCGGCCGTGCTTGTCAATCATCCCCCGGTTGCCTGGGCAAGCAATGGATCGCCCTGGCAACAGTGCTAGCCTCCTCCCCCTCCGTCCAGTGGCCCTGGCAACGAAAATAACAGGCCGGCTCCCGCTTTCGCTTGGGTGAAACTTCGGCAGCAACTCGGGGACTCGGCTGTGGGTGGTTGGGGTTGCCGCCGCCCCCCGCTCTACACACCCCCCCGCCTGACTCACAGGTCTAGGGGCGGACTGTTTTGGAGCAGGGAAGAGCCACCGGGTCGCTGGTGAAGCTAAAGGGGGTGGGGGTGGGGAGCTTTCTAGCTAATGCAGCTTCTCTCAGTGGTTTGTGAGCTTTGCCCTTTTAGGGTGAGCAGATGCAGGCCTTCTTCTCAGAAAGCAGGCTTTTGCTCTGGCTAAACCATGTCAGAATAACACACTTTTTATTGCTTTTGTACAAGACCTTGCAACACGCNCCCCCCGCCCTTGGAAATGTTCCTGGCTATGCATAGATAAATGTCCCTGAGGCATTGCGTATAACAACAACAAGGAAGTATTGTGGCACTTTTAAGGTTTGCTAGGTTTATAAAGAAGGCTGACGGCAGGAAGAATTGATGCTTTGGAATTGTGGTGCTGAAGGAGGCTCTTGAGAGTCCCCTGGACTGCAAAGAGAACAAACCTATCCATTCTAGAGGAAATCAATCCTGAGTGCTCACTGGAAGGACAGATCCTGAAGCTGAGGCTCCAGTACTTTGGCCATTTCATGAGAAGAGAAGACTCCTTGGAAAAGACCCTGATGTTAGGAAAGTGTGAAGGCAGGAGGAGAAGGGGACAACAGAGGACGAGATGGTTGGACAGTGTCATCGAAGCGACCAACATGAGTTTGACCAAACTCCGGGAGGCAGTGGAAGTCAGGAGGGCCTGGCGTGCTCTGGTCCATGGTGTCACGAAGAGTTGGACACGACTAAACAACAACAAAAGGTTTATTTCACTGTGAGCTTTTGTGGATTGCCATCAACTTTTTTTGAGATACGTGTGCCATCTGAATTGTGACCAAAGTAGCTAGATTTTTCCAGGCCATCTGGAAGGAGCTACGTAAACAGCAAGAGTCCTCATTGAAATGAATGGCCCCAAATGGCTGGCAAGGAATCCAAGGAGTTGTTGATTCACTGCATGTTCCCAAAAAGAGTCCCCTCTGTCAGCTACCGTGTGGCATAAATGGGCGTAGTGAGGGGAAAACCTCTGCCACCAGTATGAATGTATTCCATGGGAGTGAGATGACTCTCTGGCAAATTGCTGACATCTGCTTCCCTTCAATCTCTTTGTTTATAGAGCTCAAAGTAGTAGCTTGTGAAGATGTCGGATGAGGAACCTGAGGATGAAAATGATGTTGAGGAACAGAAGGAAGATGCTGAAGACAAAGGGGACGATGAAGTGGAAGGAGAGGAGGAGAAGGAAGCTGGGGAGGAGGAGGAAGAAGAGGTAAAAAAAATCAATATTATCTATTGCATTATGCTTAAACCTACATAGCACAACCCAGACCATTAGGCTCTTTTATGTTTCCTGAGCATCAGTGAGAGAGATGCTAAGCACATGCCTACTTTTCCCCATTAAATCAATGGGACTTAAAAGGGCTTATCTGTATGCTGCATGGTTTCCACATTAGGTGCTTTACAAAAGATAAACAAGCTCCTTGCCTAAAGTAGCTTACACTCTAAGAATCTAAAAATAAATAAGAAGCAGAAGAAACTACTGATAAAAGGGAGGGAAAAGGGAAGAACAGAGTATGGAGAGGTTAATCCTTGTTGGGGTAAGAGGCTTTTCTGTGTGTATGCGTGTGTGTGTGTGCGCATGTACACATGCATATGTGTGTGAGAGTTGTAGTCTTTCTGCAAACGGTGGTGGTTGTTGTTGTTGTTGTTATTGTTGTCATCATCATCATCTGTGCCTCAGATCATGATTTTTGTGGTGTAATCTATGGGCACTGATGATCCATTTGACTGGACAGTGGTTTGGTGGTGAAGATATGAAGATATGTGATATGGATCCATGTTTCTGTGCCACTGCAAAGCCATTTGCTTGGGGACGCACAATTTCTATGTTTTTATGTGTGGGAATATTAGGAACAGCATAATACTGCGCCAATATTTAACAGATACAGTACTTCGGTTTGTGGTTAAAACTTGTATCTGTCATATAATACCAGTCAATGTTTTATGGTTTTGATTGTGCCTGATGTTATAATAATAACAATGATGGTGGTGGTGGTGGTGATATGCTAACAAACCCATTCCAGCATCTTTTTAGGTATAGAGTCTGCAGAGGTGGTTTACTATTTCTTTCTTCTGGGGAAACACTGGGACTGTGCAGGTTGCTGAAGGCTACACTGGTTGGCCCTTTTCTTGGAAAGCACAGTGAGGAATCAAACTCTCAATGTCTGGTTCTACAGCCAGCTACAGAACTCAAAGGACCCTGACTTTCTGTATTGTAGCCAAACTGTCCTTCTTTCTGGCTGATATAGTGAAGTAGGAAAGGAGACAGAGGAAAGTACTAGTGGGAATAAGTGGGAGAAATAACTATAATCTCACATCCCACTTCAATTTTACATCTAGAGGTTCAAGGGCATCTTTATTAACCATTTTTAAACCATCTTTTAAAACCTCTTTATAGTAATGTATTTCTTTTTTTTCTGTGCATCTTTTACCAGCCTCAGGTCACTAATTTGCTGTCTGAGGACATCATGAAGGAAGGTCTATCACTTTTATGTAAAACTGGCAATGGCCTAGCTCATGCATTTGTGAAATTTGAGGCAAAGGAAAAGTAAGTATGTAAAATATGCCAGAGCCACCACTTGTCCCTCAACCATTTCCCCCTTTCTAAACAAATGATTTGCTTTCCTCATCCATATCCCTAAAAAACGGGGAATTATTGTGGAGAGGAAAGCTGACACTGCTGAATAATATAATTTCCCACTTTTACCTTATGGCAGGGAACTGACAGACATTACCTTGATTCAAAGTTTCATCCACTTACGCTATGTAGACTTGTCAGACAACCTGATCCGAGACCTCTCTTCACTATCAAGTCTTACACATTTATTGTGGCTGAAAGTGGATGGCAATCGGCTGACCAGTGCTAGCATGGACGAGCTACCATATCTGCAGATTGCCAGCTTTGCCAACAATCATATCAAAGACACCAATGGCATTAACCATCCACGCCTGACCAGCCTCAACCTGAAAGGTAGGTGGGCATACACTCAAGATTCTCTCTAAAACCAAGAAAGGAATCTTGGGGATATTAATTCTTTCTTTGGTGTATATTCCACTGATATCCAGGTAATGAGATTGAAGTAATATCCGGACTGGATCCAGACAAGTTGTCAAATCTCCACACATTAGAGTTGCGGGGTAACAACCTAAAATCTACAGCTGGACTCTACCTCCCCAAACTCAAAAATCTATACCTGGTAAGGAAACATGCCCCAGCCACCTCTGTGACTCAACCTAGACATGATATTAATTGTGAGAATTCAGTTAATGTGTGTATTTTTATGTAAATAGTCATAGGAAACATAAGCAGCTTTGGCAGTGTGGGAAATTCAACTCTTTCTTTCCTAGTTTCAGGAGTATATTCCACTGGCACCAGTAGACATTTCTCTTGAAATGCAAATACTAGCTTCAGAGGAACCGTATTTTTCTGAATTGTAGCAAAGAAGGAAGAGGAAAGAAATTGTCTCTGCTGACCACCATTTCCTAGCTGCTCAGGTTTTCAATAATACTACATGTAGTTTGACCTTACTGTGTTTCAGTCCCAGAACCCCATCTGATATGACATTTGAAACACCTATTCATTTCAATCCCGCCTGTAGTACTTGATTTATGCACTGTAATAACTTGACAAGAAGCCCAACAGGAAAGTAATGGGACTGAATAAATACAATTCGACAAGGATCACTTGGGTTAAAATGTGCAATTGTTTCTATACAGTTTAGTGGAAGTAATTGAGCCACCTCCACCCTAACTTTCATGCTAATAGCATGGTTATCTGTATATGTGAAGCTTTTGTGCACACAGCTGTAATGTCCGCATAATTCAAGATCTCAAATGCAAAGGGTTCAGAAATGTATGGAATTGCATAGTTCACGCAAAGGGCTTCATCCCTATAGATCTCTGTGTGGTGTGTGTCCTAGCTACAGGCAGAGATGTGTGGCACACACAACATCAGATGCATGCCATAGCCCCATCATTGTTCACATACTGAGTTCCCTGTTTGTGGATAATGCCTGCAGAAGGTTAATGTGACTGTCTCCTTGACTGTACATTTTATTCAGTTAGAAAAAGTATTGCAATTCCTCTGAAAATGCTTGAGTCCTGGAAGCAAAAGAATTGCTAGCAGTACTGCATGTGTAGAGATGACAGTGACATAGGCATTTGGTGTGTTGAGCCCTAACTTGTTCTTAAAGGACCTGGAGGACTGTAGTTCTGTGTATGCATGCAGATCTTGTCTGGATCCTGGGAATCAGCTACAGTACAAAGTTTTCAGCACCTAATCAAGCTACAGTTCCCTGGATTCCTTGGGAAAGGCTATTGCAGTTAAACTGGTATGAAACCAATATAGACTTGCTTTCCAATTATATATGCCCTCCAATCTAATTAGTTGCAACAGGTTGCTATTTTTTAGGATTCCTTATCCGTGTTTCATATGTGAATGCTCTCTGGAATCCGGATTGATATCCAGTTGCCCGTCTTCTGTGTCTTAGCTTGCAACATGTCCCATCCTAGGCACAGAATGCTATTACGCATCTAGAGGGTCTGGAAGACTTGGAGCAACTCACAATCCTTCATTTACGAGACAATCAGCTTGAAAGTCTGGATGGCTTCTCAGAGACAATGAAATCTCTTCAGTACCTCAATATACGGTGGGCTGTTGTTCCTTGTTCAGAATCTTCATCACAAACACCTTAACAGTACAAGAGAAACAGCACAGGGAGTGGTTTTTGGACCATGTTCAGCTCTGGAAAAAAAAGTCTGGACTTGACTTAGCACATTCCCCACAGTATATGCTGTAAATGAGAGTGTAATTAGTGCAGGATGGTAGAGATACTGATGCCCAGTGTGGTATAGTGGATAGAATTATAGACTAGGACCCAGGATACAAGGGTTCAAATCTCCACTCAGCCATGGAAACTCATGGTGTGAGTGTTTGTGTGTATGTGCAACCAGTAAAACTACCTCTTAAATATCTCACTTATCTTGAAAGCCCTATTGGGATCATTATAAACAGTTCTTAACATAATGGCACATAAGACAAGACAGTAAAAGCACTTGCCCTGGGAGCCCCAGCCAGAGGAATGAAATGCTAATCAAAAACCATGTATCAAGTATTAAAATAATACTACATTAGATAACATTTCCTTTCCAGAATTAAATTTAAGATACAAATAAAAACCCAGTGATTGGGCTGCCAACACAGCTTCTTGTTGGCTCTGTGATTACAATCAGTTAGGAGAGTATGTGTAAGAAACTCTGCATGATTGCAGCAGCAAGCATGTTTACTGTGCCTCTGAACAGGAATAGTCTATCTGGGTATTGAGAACTTGGAGATTGAATCGCAGTAGTCATAATAATTCTCCAACTCTGTCATTAGATGTAATGGGAACATTGGTGAGATAAATATTTTTCTATATCTATTCCAAATTAAGAGCATATTTTTAAATAAGGGATTTTCTATATTTTTATTATCATATATAAAAGAATATTTGCAAGGTTCAAATTTTTGTGTTTGTGCAACTAAGGTTACTTAGTTTGTGGGACTGAGAAATAATACCTGGCACATGTCTTAACTGATTGGCTGTATAGTATAACCTTAATTTGGGAAGTCTAAACTCTCCAACTTTTTGAGATTTATACCATGTCCTCTTATTAATCCTTAACTCCATTACAAAATTTATTAATCACAGTTTGCTAGTCCTTTAATTCTTCTTTGCTAATCTTTTTCAGTAGCATCACAGATTGAAAATTTATCTTGGGTAGCATCTTCATTTTGCATGCTGCAATTGTGCCAAACTATGACAATCCAATTTTCCTTAAATCATCAAATATTTTGTTACTTGTTTCAGTATTTCAGAATTTTCCTCCTTCAGTCCCTCCAAATTAGTTGGGATATATCTACCTAAATACTTATTAATCTTTTTGAATGCTAACATCCATTTCTTTTCTATTTTTTCCATTTTCTTCTTTGTTATAGTTAAACATCATAATTTCTTATTTATACTAATTTATATGTTAACACAGTTATCTCTCCAAATCTTTTAGATGTAGTTTAACCCTCTCCATAGCCTTTAAAGGGGTTTCTGTTGTTAACAGTATCATCAGCAAATAAATTACTTTAAACTCTAACTTTAAGAGCAATACCTAGAATCTCTTTCACATAATGAGATATGTGTTCTGTTAATCCAGTCATTTTGCTACAGTATTCCCTATAATTGAACTTTTATTCCTTTAAAACATTTACCAGTACCTAATACCTTAATTATCATTTTAATGTTGGCCATTCCACACAATCAAATGCCTTAAAAATGTCTAGTGAAATTGTACCTCTCTTTATTTTTTGTTTAGATATTCCATTTATTACATTTACCACTCTCCTAGTCAGCTTTGCCATTCGTCTTCCTGGCATAAAGCCACTTTCATCTATAATTATTTATCTGTTTAATATAACTATTATTGTGTTATCTAAGAGGAGATATTTGATAAGGAAAGTGTCTCTTCCCCATTGTTGCAGGGGGAATGCAATTGGGCAAATCCAGGAACTGTCCAAATTGCAAGTGCTGCCCATGTTACGAGCCTTGGTCTTGCTAGACAATCCATGCACTGAAGAGGGAGACTACCGTGTAGAAACCCTGGTCCTGCTTCCACGCCTTGAACGCCTTGATAAGGATTTCTTTGAAGAGGAAGAACGGGCTGATGCGGAAGATTTACGTCAGCGGCGAAAGGAAGAAGAATTGGAGTTAGAGAGAGAAAGAGAGAGAGAAAAGGAGCTAGAAGTGAGACCCAAAGGGGAATGTCATGAGAGATGGTGGTACTCAGATTAGAACAGGCCTGTAATCGTAGTGCCAGCTTCCTTGATTACTGTTTTGGGCAGCTATGGTAATCGTATGACATGATTATATTTGGCAGAGTTTCAGAGGGAGGGGCAACTTGCAGATTTCCTTAGGACCCTACCCCACCCTTTCTCTTATAATTTGAGTGCTGGGCTGTGATTGGCATGGCTCATTATCCAAGAGGAGAATCTGAATTCAGGAATGTAAGCCAGAAGCTTTCTGTCTTGCGTGGACCATCTGAGAGTGATTTATAACAGATACAAAACATTTTGCAGCACCTAAAAGGCAGGAAAGAGGCAAGGCAACTCTGTAATTAGTCCAAAGGCAGGAGACTGCGCAAACCGGTCTTAAGGAGGGTCCCGTCCCTTGGGGATCTAACATGGCGACCATATTTGGCAGAGTTTCAGAGGGAGGGGCAACTTGCAGATTTCCTTAGGACCCTACCCCACCCTTTCTCTTATAATTTGAGTGCTGGGCTGTGATTGGCATGGCTCATTATCCAAGAGGAGAATCTGAATTCAGGAATGTAAGCCAGAAGCTTTCTGTCTTGCGTGGACCATCTGAGAGTGATTTATAACAGATACAAAACATTTTGCAGCACCTAAAAGGTTAATAAATTAATGGCATATACATTCATTATTGTCTGCTTCATCAGATGCATATTAATCTGATGAAATGGACTCTAGCCTACAAAAATCCAATGGCATCATTAATTCGACTTTGAGATGCTACAGAACATTTTATTCTTTTATTGAGAAGATGGCTACTCTTGAGGAAGTTCCTGAAAGAAAAGGAAGCCTATCAGTGAAGGATGGGCAGGCTGGAGAAGACTACCATTTAACAGTAGCAGTGGAGAGATTATGATTCTGGGTTAGTGGGAACGCTGAATTTCTTTGATCATGTCGCCACTTCATTCAGTGTTGCTGCTGTGGTCCAGAGGATGCCCAAATGTATTCGCAGTTCTCACATTCTTCAGGGCGGCTCCTTCCATGTGTACCAAAGCCATACTGAAAACCAGTTATTTCTGCAGAACATGGATAGGGAAATTGTGCAATATAGTTTTTGTTGGACTTTTGTAAACTTCATTAACTCCTTATCAGTGGCTGTCCTGGCCCAGATGAATGAGAGATGAAATCCAACAAAATCTGAAAGGCCGCTTATTTTTCATCCTTGCTGTAGTGGTTCTCAAGGAAGTAGCTGAATGTCCAAAGAAACTTTAGTGAAAAAGACTCTTCAAGACCTATACAGATAAAACAAAACACCACAATAGAATGTTTTCAGAAAATATGTTGTCTACATTACACAGCAAAAGATGTATGAGAGCAGGAAAAAAACAAGATAAATTGTTATGCATCATTGGGAAGACAACTGACAATTTGAAAAAGTTAACTTATAATAGGATAAACTCAATTGTTAGTCCCACGTAAAGTAAACTCACAAAATCAATGGGATTTACAGAAATACTAACAAGTTCCGTTTATTCAGTGGGTCTACTCTGGTTGCAACTAACAACTGGATTTAGCTCAGTGTCATTTTATAATATTATGATAGCTCTACATCTGGAATACTGTCTGTAATATTCTCTCTCCAGAAGAATATTTAAATATGGGCAACCATATTTCTTCCCTGTGAGGAAAAAAATTCTGAGCTTTTTCATTTAAAGATAGTTAAGGGGCTGACCATATGACACAAATGTACAGAATTAAGAGTGCTTGCTTTTCTTTCACCTCACCCCACCCCACCCCATTTCCTAGGAAATAGAGGACTCTTCAGCCCAGGAGGACATCCCAGTGGAGTGACAAGTGGGTGTCTGTCACACTCCTCAGGGCAGAGCGGGAGCTGTGGGCTGCCTTCCAGAGCCTTCGTCGCTGTGTTGTGCAACATTGGTCCAGACAACTCTACATTCCTGGTATGCCTTGTTATCGGAAGGCTGCTGCTGCTGTTGCGGAGAGCTAGAGGAGCCTGTGGGGTGGCAAACCAAGAAGGGCTGTCAGTCTCTGTGCTTTGAATGGGTTCTGATGTGGTGCCTGTGAATAAAAGGAAAAAAAAAGTCTGATCAAGCAGAACGGAGCGGTGTTGTTTTTGGCATCCCGTTCCCGCAGTCCCGTCCACCCCTCCCTTCCCCATCTCTCTCCATCCTCTACGTGCTGTTTGCAAAGCTCCCTTGAAATCCTGACTCATCGCAGCTCTGGGTCACATGCTGCCGTCCAGGCCCTATCAGGGGCGGCTCCATCCCACCACTGCTGCTGTTGCTGCTGCTGCTACTGCCGCCGCTCCTGCCACTGGCTCAGAGGACAGACCAGTTCCCCTTCACATCCTGCATCCCTGATCTTGCCATCCCGCTCCTGTCAGCAGCGCCAGTCTTGGCCGGCCTTCCTGCTCCTGAACTAGGAAGGTAAGTGGCTTCGTTCTTCTCTCTCCAACAAGATTAAGCTCTCATTCTCGACTTCCTCCTTAAATAGTGTCCCAGAATACTCTCTACTACTACACTACCCATGATTGGGGTTTTTTCCCCCACAGTGTGTCCTCTCCCCCCCCATCTGCATCTGCCCACTTTTCTTTTGCTTTCTGGTTTCACTGCCCCACATTTGGCTGTTAGAAATATCCCCTCTCAGTGGATATCATACTAAGGCATCTGGCCAAGGTACTGAGCAGTTAGCAGGCACTGGTTTAAGTCCTTTCTTAGGGAGTGAAGGGGGAGTCTGCAAGACAGGGGACTTGGGAGCTCCAGGGATCAGGTTGTGTTTTTGCACCTCCACTACCGGTCAGTCCTAGGAGCAGTTGCATGGGGTAGTGCCAGACGATGCAAACCAGAGAGCAGACAGACATACAGTGGGCTTTGCTTCAATTTGGTGATGGAAAGGGAAAGCAGTGGGAGCACATCCTCCTCCCTGCGCCACCTTGAGACCGTGATGCCTTTTCCAGAGCAGTGCCCTGGTAATCGATATAGGACGAACTGGGTGCTCTTAAAACCAAGGTCTGGCCCAAAACGACTGGAGCTGCAGAGCTTGAAGAGCAGCCCCTTTCAGCCAGCCTCCCAGAGCAGCTTATATCTCTGATCCCAGTGGTTGCCTGTGGGTCCCCAGCTGTGCCTCTCCCCTCCTCCCTCCCTCCCATCCTCATTTCCTCCCCATCCCTTATCCCAGCTTATCTGGCCCTGACCTCCTTTCAGGGCAGTTCTACTCATGTTGCCTCTGCTTCCCCCCCCCACCCCCACTGGTGGAGTGGAAACATATTTGGAAGGAGGGAGAATGAGAAAAGAGAGTAGAAAGGAGGGAGATGAAGTAGTGATGGGGAGGAACCTCTAAGTATGTTCAGCTCCCTTTCGATCCAGGCAGCTTTGGAAGGACTGGGCAATAGCAGGACAACAACACAGAGCCAACATCTTTCTTCAGCCTCCATCAGAACAGGAATGGATCAATGGGAAAGTTAGCAACAGTGCCAATGAGGGGCCGGGGACAATTTGGTCTAGACTGCTTACAGCTTGGACCCTGCTGCCAAAAAAAAATAAATGCTGACACCATGGAGTCCTTGGCATACGTGTGCACGTAGGTAAACACATGGCAGAACTCTACACTCAACATTTCCCTCTGACTGTGGTGGGAGAAGGGCGGGCAAGCAGGAAAGTTTCTCTGGGCACCCTGCAGAGAGTATCTATGGGATCTGATAGGCTGCAAGCTTATTTCAGCCTGCAGAGTCACTGGGCAGCAATCGAAACAATTGATGGGGAATACCAGCCCAGAAGGTGCTTCAGAACAGAGAGGGAAGGAAATATAGGAGCGCCACAAAACCCCTGCCTTGTTAGCTCAAATTCCCAGATGTTGGTTGTTTTCTTGCCATCAGATCTAAAGTTCCTTATGCATCTGGACAATGAGGCGGAGACTAAAAGCCTTACTGCACTGTACCTTGTACTTCTACTCCTTCCATCTGCCTAGTGCTGTATCAGGCTCCTTTCTTCTCCTCCTATGGTGTTGCGGCCTTCTCTGTTGTGCCCCTCCCCTAGGGAGCCTTCCCTCTGCGTCATCCACAATGCAGGTGGAGGGGGTATCCATAAATCTCTTCCTGTCAGAGCATCAGGTCAACATGGTATAGCCATTCTTATATTAATTCTTCCAGATTATAGCTGGCTTAACACCAATTAAGGAAGGGGCAGCTGACCAACTGATTGGTAGAAAGCTGACTGGCAAGGAAGATGGCTGGATTCTTCTGCAATGCCCTTTTTTCCACCAACTTCTCCCAAGGCTTTTGATCTGAATACATCAGTCAACAACAATAACAACAACAACAATAACAACAATCATCACCATCCTCTGGATGAAACACATTTCAGTGGTCCCCGCAGTCATTGGGGCTTTGGGAACAATATCAAAAAACTTCACACAGTACTATAAGCAGTTGCAGATCTCAGAAATAATACCATCAGAGCTACAAAAATTGGGAATATTAGGAACAGCATACATACTGCACCGGTATTTAACAGATATTTAGATTTTTGGTTAAAACTTGTATCTGTTATATAATACCAGTCAATTTGTTATAGTTTTGACTGTGCATCATCATCATCATCATCATCATAGATCTGCTAAGCCAGCAGACACTTTCCCCTTTCTAAATAATTCATTTCTGTACTTCGTAGCAATGATCAAATAGTGGTCAGAAGGTATGGCCACAGTAAATCTTGGCAATGCTAGCCCTGCTTCCTGCCAGAATGAGAGACTGCCTGAGATTTACATGCAAAGCGTTTTGTGATCCTTAGAGGAAGAACAGTGGTTATGTTACAAGAATGCAATAATTTTAGGAGTAACAGGAACTCTTCCCTAGACTCCCTGTTGTTGCTGCTAAAACATCAGTCTTGTTGATATAGCACACCAATAGTAATTTATATATTTATTATTTCAAGTCGTATACTGCCCCATTAGTGCAAACATTCTCTGGGTGGTTCACAACCCGTCACTCATCGTTAAAATCAACAATACAAAATTACAATATTCAAAAAATACAATAAAACCCTGTCCTTAACTAAAAACCTGCATTTGAATAGAACAGACACATTAAAAACCGATGTAGGCATCTCAGGGCAATGGTTAAAAGGACTAATGAAAGGTAGCTTTGTATAATTCTGTTTTTATTAATTGCCTAGAAACTGAGAGGGATGGTGCCTTACAAAGCTCTGTAGAGGGCTTGATCCTGAGGGAAGAGCCCACAACCAAGAAAGCACACTTCCTGGTCTCCGCTCTTTCCAACCTCTTTGGGTGTCACAGTTTTTAATCTCAAGGACTGGGAGGAGCAGGTGGGATGGGCAGCTGTTTCGTGGGAGAGCCATCCCAACAAATATTGAGACCCTAAACTTTTAAGACTAAACTGAAGCAATGAAAGCCTCCACATTCTGTGTAGGGGCAATAGTTCCTCCCCTTTTAGGATTGCCTTAAAAATGCCCTTACAGTGTTGTTCTAGCACAGAACACATACAGTGGAGGGAATTATCCAGCAGATCTTCACTAGATGCCCATGACAGACGAGGCACTATCAGTTTCGGACATTTTAAGGGCAACAGTGTTGGCTGCTGCAAACTCCATTGCAGTGTGAATGTGAATTCCCCCAAACAGACATGCGGTTTGGAAAATATCTACATCAGCTCCCTGGGCCACCTCCAGCATAATAGTATCTCATGAAACTTGAGGATGCTTGTAACCTACATGACCCAAAGAATATTAAATTTAGAGGGTTATAAAGGAATGCAGAGGACTCTTTCTGTTGTGAGTCCTTGAACTTCATTTGCTTTTTCTCCCTGGGGTATTGAAACTGCAGCCTCTCCAGCCCAGCCTTCGAGAGTACCACGCTGCACAGGTCTGTTTTGTATCTGTGACTTCATCAGCTCAAGGCCATACTACCCAGCCTGGATCTTATGCTATTCCCCATGCAGAACACACTCTTCAGACAGAAATCCAAAGCCGGGATGAAAATAGTATGAAAACCCAGTCTGAAAAAGTAGAGTCAGGAGGAGATGTGTGCAAAATGTGTGACTCGTGTTTGAACTCTGGTGGTTTTCCTCAAAATTCTTCTGTTTAAAAAAAATACCAGATAAGTCAGATGCTATATGAGTGGCAAAGGTTGGGGCTGGAAACATAGATGGATCTATCATGGAGCAAAATTGTGTCAGATTTTGTGAGGCAAAGAGGAGTGGGAGACAGGTCTAAGCACCATCTGGCCAGAGGTTCTGTGTAAATCACACTGAATAAAAAGCTCAAACATGTATTTTCTCTTACATTGCACAGCATCCCTTCAATTCAATGGGACTGGTGCAGGAGAACTTCCCACGATGTTTTGTTCAATGTAAATTAGCAGGAGGGAGGAATCTATTTACATTTTTACCTCAGTCAGTGGTCATAACATATAACTGGGTGGCCTAATGCCCTCCCTGAGATCTCTTTCTTGCTTCTTATCTGTATGATGTATTTAAATAGATTCTATACTTATTCATTTCCCTCCCCACCCCACACCTGGAACTAAAAATCCCATGAAAGGAGCTGGAGATCTCAACAGAGAATCCTCACTCTTCTTTCAGAGAAACCATGATGAGTAAAATGGTGTTCTCCATTTGCTGTGGAGCACAGTGGGGATGACCCCCGTCTCCTTCATGTCCTGCTTGGGGGCTTTCTGTGAGCATCTGGTCGGCCTCTACAGAATAGAACCCTGCATCAGAGAGGCCTCACCCCATGCTATTTTTTAAAAGTTCTAAACTGGTTTTCAGAGTCATACGATTTCTAGAAAGAATTTCACTCAAGATTTGGTGCAGTTCCACCTTTTTGATGGGTGGAGCCAAAGATGGACTCTCACACTACAGAGAATTTGCTTTGCTGCGCTTACTCACGCTGGGGAGTGAAACAGAAAACGCCCTTGATTTCCATCATTTCATGAGGCTACAGCGATAGCTAGGTCACAAACAATCCGGAAGATCCATACTTGAATCCTCTTTTTCTTTTCCTAAAATAAGCTGTGGGATGGAGGGACAAATGGATTAGAGTGACAGTGCATGGGGTTTTATTCTCACTCCATTTTATCTCTCATTGATTTCTCATTATGAATTCTTCCTCCCTTTGCTATTACTTTCCTCCCCTTTCTGGGAGATATAAGAAGGCTAAAGAATATGGGCATTCTGCTGACACAAGGGCACCAGAAATATCTCACTGTGTTGGAAGCTGAGAGCCAATACTTCTGAGAAGAAACATGAACCAATTGTTGTTACCTGTCATCATGTCATATGGCAACTCTATGAATGTGCGATGTCCAACATGTCCTGTCCTCTACAGCAGTGGTCTCCAACCCGCGATCTCCAACATGTCCTGTCCTCTACAGCCCTGTTCAGCTCTTGTAAATTCAGGCCTGTGATTTCCTT